ATTTGAAAGACTGTTGCAAGGCCTTTTAATGAAATCCGACTAAAATTGCACAATCATACTATTTTCAATTTATTTCGAATACATCTTTTGCATATATTTCTGTTTTAATTGCCCCAGCTGATATATGTTAGAAATTCAAATTTTATGTTTTTGGGCTCTTGGACCTCAGAGGAGTTCCTTTAATAATGCTATGCTGTTTATAATTTGTTTATTGTCTAAACTCAAACCCACTTGTTGCTTTATAAAGTAAAAGATAGAGTAAACTAGAACTCCGCGAATCGGATGTGTCGCCTTGTGAACAATATAGTTTAAGAGAAATGGCCAGGACAAAAATGAAATTTGAAAATCAACAAAGGGCAATAACTTAAAAAATAAGAAATGCAGATCAGCAGTTTCTGTGTACTGCACTTCTTATCAATAAGATGTATCATCCTATTAAGTTTCAAGTCTAAAGCTTTTATAATTTATGAGAAATGGCCTGGACAAAAATAAAGTATGAAAATGAACAAAGGGCAATAACTCAAAAAATAAGAAATGCAGAGTACCAGTTCTTGGGCACTGCACTTCTGCTTAATGAGATCTATCATCCTATGAAGTTTCAAGTCCATAGCTATAATACTTTAGGAGAAATGGCCTAGACAAAAATAAAGTATGAAAATGATTAAAGGGCAATAACTCAAAAAATAAGAAATGCAGAGTACCAGTTCTTGTGCAATGCACTTCTTCTTAATGAGATCTATCATCCTATGAAGTTTCAAGTCCATAGATTTTATACTTAAGGAGAAATGGCCCAGACAAAAATAAAGTATGAAAATAAACAAAGGGCAATAACTCAAAAAATAAGAAGTGCAGAGTACCGATTCTTGTGCACTGCACTTCGGGTCATTATGAGAAGCATGCATACCAAGTTTGAAGTCAATCCCACTTATAATGACTGACTTATGCTCTGGACAAGCTTTAGGGGACGCCGACACTGACGCCGACGACAAAAGTAACCCCTATATGTCGCCTTTTTCAAGGCGACACAAAAACAAGAGGGCCATGATGACCCTGAAGTCGCTCACCTGTATATAGGCCCCTGAAGCGGGGCCAGTTTAAACCCCCAGGGCTTTTATTTAAACAAACTTGGTAGACACCCATTAGAAGATGTTTCATGCTAAACATCTAAGGTCTAGCTGGTCAAGTTATTTCTTTACACATTTAGTTAAAAACAGTGACACACCTGGGGCGGGGCCAATTTTGACCCCAGGGCTTTTATTTGAACAATCTTTGTAGACACTTACTAGAAAATGTTTCCTGCTTAATATCTAAACTCTAGCTTTTCAGGTTTTTTCAAAGAATTTTTAAGTTTTTGCTATACACATATAAGGAAAATCAATTTACCCCGGAGCGGGCCCAATTTTGACCCCAGGGCTTTTATTTGAACAAACTTTGTAGACACTCACTAGAACATGCTTTGTGCTTAATATCTACACTCTAGCTATTTGAGTTTCTTCAAAAAAGATTGTTTAAGTTTTTGTTATACACAAATAAATAAAATGAATGTCCCCCGGGGCGGGGCCAATTTTGACCCCAGGGCTATTTTTTTAACAAACTTGGTAGAGACTCACTAGAAGATGTTTCATGCTTAGTATCTAAACTCTAGCTATTTGTTTTTTTTTTCAAAGAAGATTTTTTAAGTTTTTGCTATACACATATAAGAGAAATCAATGACCCCCGGGGCGGGGCCAATTTTGACCCCAGGGCTTTTATTTGAACAAACTTGGTAGACACCCATCAGAAGATGTTTCATGGTAAATATTTAAGCTCTAGCTCTATGGGTTCTTTAAAAGAAGATTTTATTAAGTTTTTACTATATGCATATAGGGAAAATCAATGACCCCCTGGGGCGGGACCAATTTTGACCCCAGGGCTTTTATTTGAACAAACTTGATAGACACTTATTAGAAGATGCTTCATGCTAAATATCTTAGCTCTAGCTCTTTGGGTTCTTTAAAAGAAGATTTTATAAGTTTTTACTATATGCATATAGGGAAAATCAATGACCCCCTGGGGCGGGGCCAATTTTGACCCTAGGGCTTTTATTTGAACAAACTTGGTAGACACCCATTAGAACATGTTTCATGCTAAATATCTTAGCTCTAGCTCTTTGGGTTCTTTAAAAGAAGATTTTATAAGTTTTTACTATATATGCATATAGGGAAAATCAATGACCCCCTGGGGCGGGGCCAATTTTGACCCCAGGGCTTTTATTTGAACAAACTTTGTAGACACTCACTAGAAGATGCTTCGTGCTTAATATCTAAACTCTAGCTATTTGAGTTTCTTCAAAGAAGATTTTTTAAGTTTTTGTTATACACAAATAAGGAAAATGAATGTCCCCCGGGGCGGGGCCAATTTTGACCCCAGGGCTTTTATTTGAACAAACTTGGTAGACACCCATCAGAAGATGTTTCATGCTAAATATCTTAGCTCTAGCTCTTTGGGTTCTTTAAAAGAAGATTTTATAAGTTTTTACTATATGCATATAGGGAAAATCAATGACCCCCTGGGGCGGGGCCAATTTTGACCCCAGGGCTTTTATTTGAACAAACTTGATAAACACTTATTAGAAGATGTTTCATGCTAAATATCTTAGCTCTAGCTCTTTGGGTTCTTTAAATAAAGATTTTATAAGTTTTTACTATATGCATATAGGGAAAATCAATGACCCCCTGGGGCGGGACCAATTTTGACCCTAGGGCTTTTATTTGAACAAACTTGGTAGACACCCATTAGAACATGTTTCATGCTAAATATCTTAGCTCTAGCTCTTTGGGTTCTTTAAAAGAAGATTTTATAAGTTTTTCAAATGCATATAGGGAAAATCAATGACCCCCTGGGGCGGGGCCAATTTTGACCCCAGGGCTTTTATTTGAACAAACTTGATAGACACTCACTAGAAGATGTTTCATGCCAAATATCTAAGCTCTACCTCTTTGGGTTTTTTAAAAAAAGATATTTTAAGTTTTTTCTATCGGTTGCCATGGCAACCAGAGTTCTGCATGGAATTAAATTCTTTGAACAATTTTTAAAGGTGACCACCAAAGGAACATTCCTGTGAAGTTTGGATGAAATTGGCTCAGCGGTTTATGAGGAGATGTCATTTAAAGAAAAAGTTTACGAACGGACGGACGCCGGACGGACGGACGACGGAGGGACGGACGCCGGACGAAAAGCGATCACAAAAGCTCACCCTGTCACTTTGTGACAGGTGAGCTAAAAATTAAAACAATCATTATATACATACAATATTTCATTTTTTTATAAAGGTTCAAAATGGTAGTGAGCGAAAATTTCAAATATAAAGTGAATATCAGTTTTTGACTAAAAAAGAAATATGTAAAAAACAAAAGCAAAATTGACAGTCAGCATTACCTGCCATTATGCATTTCAAATAAGAGAATAAGAACTTTTCAAAATTGAACAAGTATTCCATTTATGAACTGAATGCCTTTAAATGAGAAAGGAACCTTTGCAAAAAATTTGAAGTAAAAACAAAATAAATACATATAATTGAAGGATTATCATTCTCTTCTTTTGAAAATGTTTGAAGTAACTTCATACAGTTTTTGTGAAAAAAGACATTAACAAAATGTTTGATCAGGGTAAAAATTGAAAAAATTATAATGATTATCGGTCCTTCGGTCTTTTTTTATAATAACTTCTTTTTATGATAATGAAAAGTGAGATTAGAATACATATTTCATCATCTGTGAAATTATGGTCCATAATGAAAAAGTTAACCAATGCAAATGCCAACAAAATAGTCATAAAAACATATCCACTTATTTTCTTTGAATATGCCTAGTAGACATAAAACTACCATTCAAAAAAAACCCTTGTTAATTCAATTTTTGTTCACATGTAATTGTTGAAGTGGAATTTAATATTTACAGACGTGGTAACTGCAACCTTAATCAGGACTCAAACCTGGGACCTGTACGTGGCGGAAGACGGACAAAACCCCACCAGTTAAAACCCCATCACTCAAAATTTTATAGAGTGGACAAAACCCCACCATTAAATTTTATAGAGTGGACAAAACCCCACCACTTAATTTTACAGAGTGGACAAAACCCCACCACTTACCAATTATTGGGCAAGACTTGATGAATTAAAATATATATAATATACAGTACACATTTTCACATTTTATTTTTTAATTTCAATATAACAATTGTGTAATATAAGAGATTATACAAATAATTTACAAACTTTTAAATCAACATCAAAGAGTAGTCATTTATTTGAGACTGTGCCACATTTATGACCTTGAATTATCCATTATTTTTAGTTTCTTCAAATTCATTTCTTCAATTTATGTATATAAAAAATAAACTACTTACTATTAATCAAGAATGTAGCACATTTTCATCAATTAATGATTAAAAAATAGCACATTTTTATCGCATATTTCTAATTTATTCAGTTCAGTCAATTTTCCTTTATTGTACTTCATAGTACTCAGTTTAAGTGGATACTGTGGCTGATAGCCTAAAGAACCTCGGGTACAGTCTTCTCCTTATTGATGAGTTGTTCACACATTCTTTTGAGTTTCTGCTGATGCACAATTGTTTGGCTTTTTTTTCATGTTTACAAGTAAGTTTTGTCCACTCTATAAAACTGAAGTGGTGGGGTTTTGTCCACTTTGTAAAATTAAGTGGTGGGGTTTTGTCCACTCTATAAAATTTAGTGGTGGGGTTTTGTCCACTCTATAAAATTTTGAGTGGTGGGGTTTTAACTGGTGGGGTTTTGTCCTACATTCGTACGTGGCATATTATTCCATAGCTGAGCTACCTGACCACTCCCTTTAAAAGCAATCAGTGCTATACTATAACACAGGGTTCCACATCTCACTATATTGAAACAAATCGTCAAATTTCAAACAAGTTCAGTCTAAGGATAAGATGTAATGGCTTGATCGGAATGTACAACCATTTTTACTATTTATTCAGTGTCCAACACTTATATACTTACAAATCTCCAGTAAAACCTTCGGCACACAAACATTCAAATGAATTGAGTCTATTAATACAATGGCCACCATTTTTACAACTTGGATTTGAACCTGTTTGGCATTTTTTCACCAAAGTTTCACATCTTGTTCCAGTGGCAAAACCTGAAAAATATATATATATACATTTACTAATATTAATATGTTAAACAAGAGAACCTTGATAGACCTTAATTGCTCTCCAAAATAAATGTAAAATCTAATCTCTTTATAAGTAACAATAAGGGGTAACTTTACAAAACAAGATTGGGAAAATGTTTACAAGTCTGTATTTTAAATCTTCATTTTCACTTAAAAAATAAACATAGAACAAAAGTACCATTATAGTACACATGTGTAAATAAAGAAATATATAAGTAATGTATGTAATGGTTATATTTACACAGAAAACAGCAAAATCATATGATGACGTAACAGAGGATATTGAATGAATTAAAATTTGAATGAGCTGAACAGAATTATGTTGTGTGAGCCTCGCCTCTGGCTTGCATTTAGTCAATGTCTTAAATAATTCAGGAATGAAGCTACACCATGTCTTTGAAAATGCTATGTTTGTATATTGTTAGTGCTATGTTTGTATGGTACAAATGATATCACATCAAAAATATGCACAGATGTTACATAACAATTTAAAGGGTTCACAGGTCTGTGATAAAAGGTGACACTAACCTCTACAATCACAATTGTAGGTATATGATAAAAGGTGACACTAACCTCTACAATAACAAGTGTAGCTATGTGATAAAAGGTGACACTAACCTCTACAATCATAGGTATGTGATAAAAGGTGACACTAACCTCTACACTCACAAGTGTAGGTATGTGATAAAAGGTGACACTAACTTCTACACTCACAAGTGTAGGTATGTGATAAAAGGTGACACTAACTTCTACAATCACAAATGTAGTTTGTGATAAAAGGTGACACTAACCTCTACAATCACAAGTGTAGGTATGTGTGAAAGGTGACACTAACCTCTACAATCACAGGTATGTGATAAAAGGTGACACCAACCTCTACAATTACAAGTGTAGGTATGTGATAAAAGGTGACACTAACCTCTACAATCACAAGTGTAACCAGCAGCAGTGCTTGAACAAAGTCCGTTGTTATAACAAGGATTTGATCTACAGTGATCAACTTGAGTCGAACATCTTGTTCCAAAGTATTGTCCTGTTTTAGATAAAAATAAAACAACATTTAAAGGTGAAATTCATTCCTGTCACAATACAATACAATATCTTAATGGCTTCATAGGCCACAAAACCAGAACAAAATATAGTTTGCAAGTAATTTGTTTACATAAGTACATAATTATATAGCAAAGTTTTGAATAAAATTTACTAAAGAAAATATAAAATCGTACAAAATTTCCATGCTTACCATCATTATCATAAATAAACCAAACAGATATCAGACGTTGATATCCAATGTATGTAAATTCTTTTTTGTCCATTTAGACATAATCATGCCATTAAGGATATTGGGGTACTAAGTTTTTCCAGCAAATTGTCATTAGGAACAATAGTGTCATATTGTCATAAGGATTAAATTAAAATCCCACAATTTATGACAATATAGAGGATATTTGTTTGTTTGTGTGTAAGATGAAATTTTATTTCATCGAGTGGGCTTTAAAAACAGTATTCTCACGAGTGGTGTAGCCAGGAGTGAGAATACTGTTTTTAAAGTTCACGAGATGAAATAAAATTACATCTTACACAACAAACAGACAAATTTTCTTTTTTATTTTATGCTTAAAAACAAGTTTAAACGATATTTCCATAATTTTAACGTTAATATTAAAATTGTTTCCCCCATTTGAGAGCCACCCATTTAGACGGAATTTCACATTAAAAACAAAAGTCTTGAGCTGAAAAAAATAAGTCTGTGCCAATCAAGGTTAAATGAATGGTGATATTTATTCAATTTTTATTAAAAAAATATGAATGATCGCTTGTTTTAATAATAAAAACAAACAATTCTTGTAGGAGAAAAAGTCCAACCATCCATCCATATTTCCCTGTTACTTACTGGCGAATTTAATATTAGACCTGGCTTTGTAAAATGTAAGCGGCAGCCATTTTTTAAAGTTGTGTATTTAATAGGAGGAAAATAATTGTGTAAGATTCAGAGGGATATAATTTGCATTTGTTAGTCATACACCTTTTTAAAAGAAAGAAAACTTATTTGAGGATTGTAACAGACAAAAAATAAGTGTTGACAGATGTGAAAACATTCATAAAAGTAGCTTAAGGTCTTCAGCGTACCCGTTTATATACTATGACATGACGTGAATGCCGCATCAGATGAAAAACAAAAATGTTAAATAGCGGCTTATAAAGTTTTGGAAGCCAGAACTATCAGAAAAGGAGCTAGGAAAATGGAAAACTTGGAAGCTTGCTAAGGAACGCTGGGTTGTTTTACTTATTCTACGAGTGATGGCTGTCAATGCTTTTCAATTTTTCATAAAGCATACGGCAGTTATTGCTCGTAGGATACTTTAATATGCCCAAATGTCATCAAGAGCAGTTTTTGCATGGGGAAGGAATGGTATTTTTTCAGACATGTAAAAAAACGAAAAAAAAAATTTTAGAGACGAAATTGGTGATTGGAAATAATGAATGAAATAGAAGTAAGTTTTCTCTTTATTACTTTTGACAATTTAAGTTATTTAAATCTATTTTTCAGCTTTGCTATTTCTTTTAACAGCCTGACATTGTCAGAATTGTCAGTAAAAATAAAATTGAGGTACCACATGGGGAAAATCTTAAAAAAGTAGTTTCGTCATTGAAAAAAGTGAAATTATATTTTGATAATTTTCACTGTGAAATTATCAAATATAATTTTCACGGATAAATCAGTAATCCACTGAAAAGCATAAAATAAACCTCTCTATTTCACTTTCTCAACCAACCTTGGACAATATCATATGACCTTGACCTTAGCCAGATGGACCTTTTTTTCACATTTTTTTCACATAAAACTATGTTTCACAATTTGGAACAATTGTGATAAGTAACATGAAAAATAACTCTCAATGCATACAGAAGTTTTGCTTTGGACAAGCATTTTTGTCTGACCTCTGAATTTAAACTTGTCTTTTAACCAAAGAGACCTGGTTCTTGGGTGGACACAATGTCTCATGGTGGTGATAATTTGTATAAAGTTAAAATGAAATCCATCCATCAAAGTAGAAGATATGATCCTGACTAAACCTGCTTATTTCTTCATGTCTGGTAAGTGACCTTGCATATAATTGAGCCGTGTCACGACAAAACCAACATAGTGCATTAGCGACCAGCATGGATCCAGACCAGCCTGCGCATCTGCGCAGTCTGATCAGGATCCATGCTGTTTGCTTACAGACCCTATAACAAGTAAATAAACTGATAGCGAACAGCATGGATCCTGATCAGAAAGCGCGGATGCGCAGGCCGGTGTGGATCCATGCTGGTCGCAAACCCATTATGTTGGTTTTGTCGTGACGCGGCCCATATTTATTTGATAATGCTTGGAAGACCCAGTTTCATGACTGTGAACATTTCTTATAAAATGTAACACTACCAAACCTTCAGTACACACATTTTTATATTTTTACCCAAATTTTAGACTCTTGCAATCTTGATCTTGACCATAGGGACTGAATTTTGCACACAATACACTGGCCAACAATGGTGAACATTTGTGCCAACTTATATTAAAATATCTTAATTCATGTAGAAACTTTGCTCCAAACACTTTCCTTTCACAACTAAATGTTACCTTGACAAAATGTTCAACAAATTTGATTATAACAATAAAATTGTTTACCTGGTGTGCAATCACATACTGGTTCATTGTTTCTAATGACACAGTTACCTCCATTTGAGCAGTAGTTATTACATAGGGTACCTGTAATATACACAATTATTGAAGCAATTTTGAATCCGTCCAATTCTGACAATCAGTAAGACGTTAGTATTCTTTTATCCTTATTAAATTTTTTTGGCAGTTTACTTCTATAATTAGTGAAATTAATTTATACAATATTTAGTTCATATCTGAATTGTGCAGAAAATTTGTAGCTTATTTGACCAAATAATCTATTTGATACATCATTCACAGAAAATTTAATAGCTTTATTTAAAACTTCACTCCAGTTGGCTTCCTGGTTCTAAACAAGTATCATATGACCTGACACGGACTATGGATTTGATTCAAGGCTCAAACCCACATTCCTGGGCTGAGAGGCATTTTTACAAACAGGCCAAAGCTCCACTATACTTTTTCAAGCTTCAGCTCAAGTGTATTTCACGCCTGTCAAATATAGCAAAGTCTCAACAGCTTAGTAAATGACGCTTGCTGCCGTAATCCATACAGTTAAACTACTAGTCTGTAATATTGCTGACTGAGCAAATCTTTAAAATATTCAAGATGATATCTCTTCAAAATCAATAGATGTAATGACAACTACAATTCAGTTCAGTAAAATTCAGCAGATCATACATCCAGTACTTACCAGCAGCAAGACATTGGGTAGATGAAGTCAAACCAGTTTCTGTAGAATACGATGTAGAACATTGATTACAACTATCTTGCCCTGTCTGGGACTGATAGTGATTCCTGGGACACTGCCTACATGCTCCATTCTGATCATAGCCATTGAATGAGAAATATCCTTCATCACATTTTCCTAATGAAAATAAAAAAAGAAGAAAATAAAAAGTCATTAAACAGTAACAAATACAGGGCAGTTATAAAAGATGGGTTTTTTTTTGTATCATCGCACAAAGTAACCTCTCATATAGCAAGAGCTGTCCTTAAAATAGTATGCTTGACTATTGTCATTGCTTTTCAGTTGAAAAAAGGGGCATTACTCTGAAGAAAAAAAGTAATTCAGAGTTATGGAACCTTTGCCTATATATTAGAGAATCAGAGATAACAACCCATCACCTCCAGGAATTTTGGAGATTGGGGGAGGAAGAGAACAATAGCACACATTTCTCTTTGAATAGTAGACCTAGGACCAAAATGTCACATTTCATATATATCAATATCCTCTATAAAAGGAATGTCACATTCTCCAGGTTACTAAAAATACTCATGTCCGCTACACTCTATAAAAGGAATGTCACTGTCTTGAAATTCTGCTGGTTCTTATTTACTATATATAACTATTTTGAATTAAAAAAAAAACAACCAAAAAACTTTTAATGATTACTCCAAATTCAGTGAAATGTTAAGCCCTACATGATTGTAAGAGGCAAATGAACAGGTTCGAATTATTGAAGCCTATGCAACTCTAGATCTAGCTCCAGCAGGTGAGGTGGTTTTGACCCCTGGTGTTGTTTTAATTTGTAACACCCAAGGTTAGCAAAAAAATCATCTTTCCTGTTTTGGCGCCGTAATATTATGACATAAATTGTATTGGTGAACCGTAAAACCAACCAAAGGAGCCTGTTACATTTACTACAGATATTTTCAAGCACGGCTTAACAATACAAAGATGTTACTTATACTTACTTATGCATTGTGAATCGGAAGTTGATGTAGTTGTGGCGGTTATCATATCATTACTTATACTGCAAGGCGTACAATCTGTGGCTCCGAATGTTGATGAATACCTGCCGATACCACAAGGAGTACACGGTGCCTTCCCGGTGCTCGAGTAGAATCCTGGCGGGCATTTGGCTGATTAAAAAAATTCTTATGTATAAATATATATCACTGTTTGAAAGTAGGATAAATATAAAATATGACAGTACAGTATTGATACAACACATTGTTGGCTTTGATAAATAATTTCAAGTCAGCAACCTTTACGACTGAGTTATATGCATTTTTTTTCAAATGGAAATACATCAAAGGCGATCTGAACTGAGCAGAACGACCATCATTATAATACTGCATGATGTTTGTTACGTCAATTTTCATTTGTCAATCATAACATTTACATTACCAGTATATACTTGGCTGATGCAAAGTTCAAATAATTTTCAATTTTGACAAAAAAGATATCAATTAGACAGGTTATATGGAATAATTTATATCCATTCTTGTAAAGTGGAAGGTAATGCAAGACAATGAACACTTTCTATACATGAAATACTAGTAATTCATTATAAAAATTTTCATGCAACTTTATTCAGACTACTATAAATGTACTTACATCTGCACATAGTTCTTGCTGTAGCACCAGGGAAGAAAGTTGTATCTGTAGCAGGACAGGAGGTACAAGAGCCTTCCTCATTTGAGTTGTATGTTCCCTCAGCACAGTTTACACACTGGCTATTTATATCTCTTGAGGTACCTCTTGGGCACTTTACTTAAATCAAGAGATTTATAATATTATTATATATTTCCGTCTGGACAGTTTACACAATGGCTATTTATGTATTGTCCAAGATCAGGGTTACAATCACAGGATAGGTCGAACTCGTTAGGGAACAAAGGGAAAACAACACATGATTTGAATGAAAATCGGGCATTTATTTAAAATGCCATAAATCAGCATTATTTATACTAAATACACAAATAGATTTCATAACATAGTTTAATAAAAGATTCCCGAAAGGAACTAACTGGGAGGCAAAAACCGCCCTTACAAAGAATCAAGATGTAATAATATAATACCTGATGTTTTAACAAGAAAACAAAAGAGACTAGATCAATTTTAGAGAAAGAATAAGTAAAAAAGCATATATCATATTTTCATGGACCCTGATCTTGGCAACATTTGAAAGAGGTGGTGGAGTTGGAGGAGGTGGTTTTATTTTTTCTTTAAAAAATTGGTAACAAACCAATGTACGCCAAAATGAACAAAGATATGGCTTATCTGTATATCCATTGGCTTAGAAGGATCACGTGTTTAAATGTAAACATCTGATTGGGTAATAGCATAATTTATGCGTCTAGCTAAATTCTGATTAACATCGTAAGTTCCGGACGTCACAAATAGGGTCCAATGACATAAAATCTTTTATGTGGGCATAAAATATTATTTATGTATTGTCCAAGATCAGGGTTACAATCACAGGATAGGTCGAACTCGTTAGGGAACAAAGGGAAAACAACACATGATTTGAATGAAAATCGGGCATTTATTTAAAATGCCATAAATCAGCATTATTTATACTAAATACACAAATAGATTTCATAACATAGTTTAATAAAAGATTCCCGAAAGGAACTAACTGGGAGGCAAAAACCGCCAAAAGGGATAACCCGCCGCCCAGGGAGACTAGACTGTGATGTGAGCTCGACCAATGTTATGTGATTGTCATAAGACTAGTAATACATATATTTGGTAATATCAATAAAATTAGAACACAATGCGTACTTAAACAAAACTAAAATAAAATCAAATTCCAAAAAATTTTATGTCATGCAACAAGTATATATATGTACATAGCAACATTTTCCAATTATTACTTGTAATGAAACATAGTAACATAATCCTTCTAGCAATAACCTTGTATTAACACTCAATAAATTTAAAAAATCTGTCAAAAATGGACAGTAAGTTTCATTGTATCATAATTGTGACCAGTAAACTGTCAATTTAGAGACAGTATGTAAATTGTAAATTAATGTGTATACAATCATAGAAAACTTAACCGCACATTAAACCATCAGCAAAAGTCTCGTACCCACACAGGGTGAGGTTCTGAATAAAATTATAATATGTACACCAATAATGTAATGTCGACAAACAAAGGTTAAAAGGCATTACATAATTTATAATACAAATTTACAATGCACTGCAGCCTTTTACTGTCAGCGTAAGTTAATAAACTCAAAGTTTGAGTAACTTTCATACAGATGCGTACATTGTACAAGAAGAAAAGTAATACCAACATGATTTGCATCATGAATATTGAATACTGATATAAATGTAAATAAACTGTAGACATAAACTGTCTTTTAAGCAAAGTAAAATTGTTTAACAACACTAACAAATATTGTTATCTTTTTTGCGGCCTTGTACCGTCAACAAAGATATACATGTGCGTTGCGGCCTTGTACCGTCAACAAAAAGATATACATAACTATATAATAACTGTTGCCTTAAACCATCAGCTATTAAATATAGAAATTTGGTAATGAGATTCAGTTCATGGGTACCATAGTAACTCGTATAATCTAGATCTGCTGCCTTAGACCGACAGATCTCTCAATTGTTTGCATATTGGTAGTAATACATGTACCCTACACCAGCTGTAACTGTTGTAATTGAGATGCTAATAATTTTTCCCTTGTATATTAATTATTGGAAGAGCGGTTGGACGTATATATTTCAAGTATGCTGTGGACTTCCAACGACCAAGCTTTTGTATTTGTGTACTAGACATGTTAGAATTGTGAGCGTGAGTTGCTCCACCAATACGAAATGAATGTGCTGTGAAAAGAGATGGATCCATATTGTTAGCAACTACACATGATCGTAGAACAGATCTAAAATAAGATGTAGAGACTGGTTGACCATTGCTATGTCTGAATAAATAACCATTTCCTAATGGGGCTGCTCTTAGGTACTTTTTTAGAGCACTTATCGGACATAATTTCTTGACTGTTTGTCTATTAATCGGAATTATTGACGACTGTCCTTGTGAATGCTTGTAACTACGTATAGTTAATGAGGCGTGAGAAATCTTAGAGTGTTTGTAATAGAAAACTATGTCCTCCTTCTTAATGACATTTTGGGGATTGTTTACCGAATAAGCTATTTCGCCCACTCGGAATAGGCCAAAAAATGCTATTAAAAACATAGCACGCATAAGCTTGAAAGTGTAATTGTCTGTAACCATAGAACGTAGTGATCCAACTATCAGCCCTAGACTGGTCATAGTAAAAGGTTGACGTTTATCTGACTGTTTGTGACGCCTTATACTGTGTAAAAGTTTTTTAACTAAGAAAGACTCTGAAGGGGAGGTAAACCCGTGGAGCTTATGTATGTAACTTATAGCTGAAATGTATGAAGTTATTGTTGAAGCTTTAAGACTGCGATTGTGACATGCTGTAATAAATTGAGCAAGTTGTTCAGTAGAAATTGGTAAGAGTGGGGAATCAACATAAAACGTATCATGAAACTTTTTGTAATGTTTCAAAGCATTCTTATAGCTACATTTAGTAGAGGGAGATAAGGCTGAATCAAGGAGGTGATATAGATTTCTATTCAATGAAGCTGAAGTAATTCCTGACGAACAAATGTGGGGGCTTTGTCCATGTTTGGAGCCAGAGCCTGGAATTTCTTGATCTGTAAACGAGAAAGAAGATCCGGTAATATGTTGTATTTTCCAGGGATATGTTCTGCTCGTATTAGTATATTATACTTCATGCTAGCTAATACTAAACGACGTACAAGGGCCATAACTACCGAAACCTTGCAAGTTTGCCTATTGATAATATGAACTACCGCTTCATTATCTGTATGTAAAACAATGCATTGATTCCTCATTTTTGAGCCCCAAATTTCTAATGCCAAAACAATAGGAAGGAGTTCTTTAAACGTTATGTCAAATGATAACCAAATTTCAGACCAAGTCCCATAAAACCAATGTGATTGTAGGAT